GGTACATATTTAGGACTTGAGTGAAAAACTCAACACACAATTTTCAATGTTCCAGAGAAAGAAAGAAAAAATAAAAAAATTGAGTTTGGACAGTTAAAGGAATTTAATCATAATTAAAATGTTTATTGGATTTAATACTTTTGGCTTTAATCATTATTCAGTGTTAAAGCATGTGTATTTTCAGATTTTAAGGGTCAACTTGATATACAGGCAATAAAATAATTTCATGACTTACAAGGTTTTCACTTTGGACCAGTGATAATCTAATACACTTAGCCATTGATTGAGAGACAAAAACTGAAATTGCAGTCTCTCCATTTTATTATATAATTTTATTACCTTTTATAGTTACAGTTTTGATATATGAGACTTTTGAAAAGTAAGCTTTAATATTAGTTAAATATATGAAAAATAAGAAGAAANTAATATCTTTAATTCTTGATTTTTTATATAATAAATATACAAGTTTTGTTGTCAAATCTTTTGCATTAATCATTTTTTGTAGAAATTTTATATAATGTTTAATCCGTATTGTATTAAGTTTATACCTCATTAATTCTAGACGCAACGCACTACCAGGAATATTAAATTCAAGTTGAAATATTCTTCTAATAAAAATATTTCGAATTTCTTCCATATCATTAAAATTGTTTAGACTCCAAATTGGAGCAGCACAGCACAGAGAGTTTATCACTAATGAGTTAAATAATTGAAAATGGGTTTTAACATTTCTTACTTTTAGTTTACAAAATAATCCCATCAAATTATTTATTAGATTTCTGGCTTTGGCTACTGTATTCTTATACTGTTTGTTGAAAGATAAATTTGACGTAAATATTATCCCTAGAAATTTACTTTCATTTACAATTCTTATTTTTTCTTGATATAAAAGGACTTATATCTTTTTGGAGGATTTGTACCATTTCTAAAAATCATAATTTCTGATTTACTTGGATTTATTTTAACCTTCAGGTTATCTAAGTATTCAACTATTTGTTGTATTTTCCTACATAAAGCTACGGCAGTAGGCGCCATTATAACTATGTCATCTGCATATGACAATGAGTGTATACTCATATTATTAATATATATTCCATCCTCTTCTCTTAAAAAACAGTTATTTAAGTCAAATAAGTAAAAATTAAACAAATATGGTGATAAGGAATCACCCTGTAATAAACCTCTATTTGTATGAAAAGATCTCCAGTATATATTATTTTGTTTAATAATTACATCATATTTTCCATATAATTGGTCAATCATTTTTATAAAGTAGCTACTTGCATTATATTTACTCAATTTCTTTTGTAGCAACTTAATGCTAATTGTGTCAAATGCTTTTTTAAGTCCAAAAACATCGCAAATACCTTCTGTCTTTTCTTCAGTAATTGTAACTGAATTGCTGTTAACAAAATGAAAAGAGCCATTTGTGTTTCGCCGTTTTCTATAAAAGCATATTGCGTAGGATTCTTATATTTATTTGTCTCTATCCAATTTTTAAATTTCTCCGCAAGTGTAGCTGTAAATATTTTCCTAAAACTTGACAGTAGTGCAATTGTCGTATAGTTTGCTGGTTCATTTCTACTACCATGTTTAAAAATCATAGTAAATATTACCTCATTCCAATTTGTAGGTATTATACTGGAGAAATATATTTTATTAAAAAATCTGGTCAAATATTGAATTAGGTTGTAAGGCAATAATTTAATAAATGAATATGGAATTCCATCAGAGCTAAGAGCTGATTTATTTTTAGAATCGATAATCTTTTCTGAACTTCATTTATACTTATTATTTCTTCTTGACTAATTTGATGAGATGTTATCACCTCCATATTAATGTTTCTTTCATTGTATAAATACTCGTCAGAAAACTCTCTATAATATTCTACCCACTTATTATAGTTTATTCTATTTTTATTAGAACATTTGGACTTTTTCCTTCGAAAACTATTTAATATCTTCTAAAATACTCTTGTATCTTTAGATTCTATTAATTTCCTATTTATGTTCAAATATAATTTATTTTTGGCCTTGATTAAGTTCAAATAAATTTTCTTAGTTTTAACATAGTTTATCAGTTCTTCTGTTGTATTGCTCTTCCTGAAAGCTTTTAAGTTTTTTGTTTTTTAATTTTATAATAATAACATGAGTTATCAAACCACTCATTTTTATATCTATGCTTATTGGCGGAGTTACATTTCTTAAATTTGCATTCTTCTAGTTTTGATATCAATCTCTGATAATTAACTATAGGTTCTTTCTCGTTTTCTAACGATATCAAATTTGCTGTCATATCCTCTGCCTCCCTTAACCATTTCTGTTTGTTGTAGTTTGAGGTAAATTTACTATTAAATATTACTGACTGATCATCTCTATTATTTTCCTTTTCATTTCTCCATCCATTATTAACTTAAGTTGTACTGGAAAATGATCAGATGAGTCCTCATCCAGTACTGTCAAAGATTGGCAGTATTCAATTAAGGTCTCAGAGCATATAACATAGTCTACAATTGATTTTCCTGTATGCGATATATAAGTAAATTCTGCGGGACCATCTCCTTCTATTCTTCCATTTAGGACTACCAATTAAATGAATAAATTCTAATAAATTCTAATAGAGCTTTACCTTCACTATTTAAAATTTTATCTTTAGATTGTCTTTTATTATTCATATTTTTATAATTTTGAAAAATCTTTGTCTCCGACATCTCTCCTATACAAGAGTTAAAATCTTCGATCAACCACAGATGAGTAAAAAAAAATCCCATTTATTTAGATAATATTGAATTTCATTTAATATTGGTTTCTTTTCCACTGTTTGGCTGTAGATATGTTACTATTATTCCTAAATAATGTTTGTTCCATGCATTTTTTAGTTTGTCTTTTAATTCTATTATTGCTAGTAAAAAGTTCTTGCTTATAGTTTGATATAAAATATCTCCAAGACTTTTCTTGATTAAAAGTAACATGCCTCCCGAAGGACGGCCGAATTTACTTGTGCAGTATGCATTACTCATTAAGTTAATATATTATTTTCTTGTTCTAAATAAGTTTTTTTTTGACAAATTCAAAGTTGTTAACCACCTTTCAGTTATTCCTGTAATTTCATTCGAATCTATAAGTTTTTTCATTGACATTGTCTGAATTTTTCCTTTGATTCCTTGGCAGTTCCAAAAACTGAATAATACATTATTATGTATTTTCTTTGATCTTAATTTAATCTTTTTTATATTTTTTTTTCCGAAGTCAGTTTATTTCTGTTCACATTTTCTTCATCTGTTTCTATATGATTATATCCCTGATTATCATTTTGTATAATTATTGCTTTTATTACTTTGTCAGGATTTTTTGGGTTATTTGTCCTAAAAAATGGTTTACTAATATAAATTCATTAGTATCCATATCAATTGTATATATGTGATTATCTTTTATATAGTAATCATCTTTTATTCGTACTCTGATATTTTCTGCCATTTCTACCTTAATTTTATTAAGTAGTCGTTTTCTCCTGATTCTAGATCTAAGACATAAATCTGTTTTTATGACAATGTTCTTTTCCTCATTCTTCATTTTGGAACGGTTCATCCAAAATTTCTTAAGGATTAGATTCCTTTCTTTAACCAAAGTTGTTATCATTTTTATCATTTAATTCTTTAAATTATTTTTTTCCAAGTTGATTAAACCTTCTATTTCTATATTTTTTAAGCCTAAATTTACTTTTATAAATTGTTTTATTTCTTGCAGGTTATCAATCGTTTTAAATGGAAAATTTAGAATAATTAGATTTCTTTTAGTTTTATCATTTAATGTTCTATCTAGCTCAAACTCTAACATACCTTTTAAATTTACACAAGGTTTTACTTTTTTTTCACACTGTTGAATTTTTTTACCAATGATTTTCATTTCATCTTTAATTTTCGTGTTGTCTTCCTGAAGTCATCTAATATCATATTTGATTATCTGCATTTCCTGGTTTAAAGTCTCAAACTTCTCCTGAATTAGATCAGGAAAATTGATTTAAGTGAGTATTCCAGTTCATTTTCTCTTAACTGCTCAATCTGTTCCAATGTTTCAGAATAGTCCTTAATTTTAGAATTTCTCATACTCTTGGTATTTATACTCATCTCATCCTCTGAATTATATTTTTCACCAATTAAATCCACTAACTGGTTTGTGTCTTCCAAAGTCTGAACAAGTTCTTTTCCGGGTCTTCCACGCCCTCTTCTTTGCATATTTGTTTGACTTGATTTTAGTGGAGAACGTTGAAGCGGGCGAGGATTCGTTTCAATTCCGGCCATGATTAACAACAATAATATTAAATTAATTGTTAATAGGGTTGTTAAGCAACTATTAAAAACTAGATAATGGCTTTTAATCCAGGTGTAATCCATTGTGCATTGTTTGTCTCAGCTCTAACAAAAAAAGTCACCAACACTCACCACAACTAGAAGCACCCCCTAAATGTAGAACTAAGAAAAACTAATGAATTACACGAGCTAATTCTTTGGTTCTAAATATGGAAATGTTTAATTTAAAAATGTAATCCACTCATTTACAAATTCTGAGGAACTATATTTTGTACTGCACTAGGAAATAACCTTGTTCTTAAAGTATTTGTGAAACATATCTCATCAAAAAGATGACTGTGTAAACATTTTTCTTTCCTTTTGGAGTTTTTGATTTTTAGATTTTATGGATCTTTAGTTTTTATCATGTAAATAACATAAGCAATGTTTCTTTGTTTAGTCATTATTTAAATCAGTATACTAATCTTGAGATACTAAATTATTGAAATAACTCTTACTGAATATGAAATGCTTATCTTTCGTAACTATTATTACTTTTATCTTTATTATTATTAATTCTTAAAAATATCTAAATATAACAAATTTAGAAAATTTGGAATTTAATTTTTTTTTATTGAAAAATATTATAAAATGAAGGGAGTTTATTACACTACATACATATTTTTGTAAATCTAGAAAAGTGCTGTCCTATATATTTGTTCTAAAAATTGATATAAACTAATAATTATGTAAATTAATAATATTTTGTAATGTAGTTACACGAACATGGTGCTTATTTGGTGGACAGTTTGATAGAGAGTAATCCTATGATGAAAGATTGGGAATGTATGACAGATCTTCTTTTAGAAGAACCAGGATCTCAAGAAGAACCTCTTGATGATAGGCAAGAAACATCACTCATTGAAATAATGGTCTGCTGTGTCAAACAGGCTGCTACAGGAGAACCACCAGTTGGACGGGGTCCAAATCGTAAAGTATGTTTTAAACTTGGAACATGAAATGAATATTGACATTTTGGTAATACATAAAAATAAATTTAAACAAAATATAAATTACAAGAAAAATATTTTTTCAGCAATTATCAGCTAAAGAACTGAAACAAGTTGGAGATGATCGTGTTAAATTGACTGAACATTTCATTCTTACTCTCCCTCAGTTGCTAGCTAAATATATGGCAGATCAAGAGAAGATTGCTAATTTGATGGTTATTCCACAATATTTTGATCTTGAAATATATACCACAAGTCGTCAGGAAAAGGTACTTTATTTTCAATATTATTATATTACTGTATGAACCAAATATCATTTGATGTTTTCTCCAGTTTTAGAGTCAGAAATTGCTCTAGACCTATATTTGGCCTTGACTTGTACTCATTTAACTCTGTACGTCATGTTCAGAGTTAAACTGATGCTAAAATTTGGTGTGTTGATTATTTAGTGATTGGCCTTTATATTGCAGCCTACAAACTGTGCTGGAATCAAGTGTTTGGCTTGATTGCAAACAATTGATTAAACTAAGCTGTTTTAATTGTATTTAACATAACCAGTCAGTTTTGATAACTTCTATAGAAATTTTATTTTGATAACTTAAATTTAACTTTATTTTACTCCTGGAGTCTCTACTAAACAAGCAATTGTCAAAAATTGAGAAGGAAGGTTGCTTAAAACTTAACTTGAAATTTCTTATGTTGTAAAGTGTAAATTTATATTGTAATTATAAATTTATGTATTTGATATGATTGTATGTTTTGGACTTTATAAAAAGTGTTTGGACAGTTGTTAAAAATATAAATAAAAGTGAAACACAAAGTTTTTTTTTTTTTTGGATAAACATGAAATATGAAGGAAGACTATTTCCTTGACATGATGTAGATGCTGGACAGTTTACTACCTAATACATAGGACATTGTCTCAATTTTTCTGTAACTTATATTAATTTCATTTTTATGGTTATCAACAAAGCAGCAAGTTACAATTTGTCAGTTATAAGAGTATCTAATGGATATATTTCTATAAATCCAAACCTTTAAGTACTATTTTCTGATAAACTATGCATGATGTAAATGTGATTTGTAAAAATTACTAAGAAAGCAATCAAATGTTTTTCATTTATGCTGATGGATTCCCAGATATTCATAAATACCAATTCAAAAAATTTTTATTTCTAACTAAAGTAATTTTGAAAAGGAAGAAATGTAATGAATGAACTAATTTTCATAAACAGTTATAGATAAGAATCAATAAAAATTCCACATATTCTAGTAAAAGTTAACAGTAGTAGAATTATGAAAGAATGTTGGTGAAGACATAGTTATAAATAGCTTTAAGATGTTACCAATGAGTAAGACAGAATGGATGATGGTGTATTGAGAAGGCTGAAAACCATAACGGCCATGAAATAGGAAATGGGAATGATTGATAATGAAAATTCTGATAAAGATGAAAGTGATGGAGTATTGTTTCAATGACTTTCCAAATTTTTTAAAATGCAAATTGCTAAATTTTTGCATGTGAATAAAATTAATAATAAAAGGTCAATGTATATTCAGTCCTAATTTTTTCAAAAAGTAAAGATTCCAAAATTGTGAGTCAACTTATATTTGGACCAATATGGTGATTTGTAGAACATTTGAATATATTTAACACATTAACTGCCTGTTGTAATATGATATTTTGCATCAGGGGGCCAAAAAATGAAAATTTGATATCTAATAATTGATTATAACATAAATAAAAGGGTCACTGATAAGAAAAGTATATATAAACAAAGACCGGGGAGTCGTATGACCTTGAACGTGAGGCTGCTTTCTCCCAGGCAATAAATTTTATAACCCCACTGTAACTAGACATCCTTCCCTACTTAAAAGTATTTACATCTGTGTGTTAAAGTATTTCACACTTTGTTTCGACTGCAAATGATGTTTTTTTTCTGTAAATATGTATTAAAACGCACTTATATACTTTGATTTTTTTTGTAATATTATTTACTTTATATGCGGTAAAAAAGAATAATTAAACTAATTTTCGATATTTTAAATTATTTACTATTAAAATAAATCACTATCAGATAAAAAATAAATTTTTATTAAAAAAAACTATGACCACCGACCTTGTATTGCATCATGACGCCACATGACGCGTTGGCGGTCATAGCTAGGACCGATTTGCCATACGACTGCCAGTGTTTGAAGCCAACTGAATAGATCTCCATGAGAGGCCAGCACTAAGCATGCAGAAAACGTCGTACAAGGCCAGGAAAATTTAACCTTGAGTAAAACTACATTGTTTACGACTACGGGCTGTTGTATGGCACTGTACGGGCATTTCCATTACAACGGCGCGCGCATCGTATGGCAGACAACCTGTTAAGGCATTAATTTTTTGCAAACAGAATTGAAATTATAAATTTTATGATGTAGATTAGAGATGGCCAGCTGGATGGTATATGAGCCAGATCTGAGCTGTTGCATAGTCTTAGTGCAGTGACATGCCATTAATTATATAGTTTTTTTAATATGACTATGAGATATTGTAATGGCTGTTTGCATGGGTGGATTCTTGCAAATAGCCATTACAATATCTTATAATTGCAATCAATTGAAGGTTGGTAAGGAGAAATATGTACATATAAGGATACATAAATTCATGAGTTAAAGTGAAGTACAAGATAGTGTGGCATAATTTATTCTGACAATAAACAAGATTTCAGCATGTGTATACATCTAGTAGTCTTCATATAGTGGACTTAATGCTGAGAAATTTGATTGTGGTGGCAAGTTTGTACACTGTTGTCATGATATACAGTCGACCCCTCTATAACACTGTTGATAATTCCATTTTATATGAATTCCATGTTGTANACTGTGTACCAAATTTCACCTCTCTAGGTCCAGCGGTTTGCTCTGGGCGATGATGAATCAGTCAATGAGTCAGTCAGGACAAGCAATTATATATATATATAGATTGCTTGTCCTGACTGACTCACTGATTCATCCCTTCTTAGTGTGCGTTTTCATGACTTACCCTAACTGTGTACCAAATTTCACCTCTCTAGGTCCAGCGGTTTGCTCTGGGCGATGATGAATCAGTCAATGAGTCAGTCAGGACAAGCAATTATATATATATATAGATTGCTTGTCCTGACTGACTCACTGATTCATCCCTTCTTAGTGTGCGTTTTCATGACTTACCCTAACTGTGTACCAAATTTCACCTCTCTAGGTCCAGCGGTTTGCTCTGGGCGATGATGAATCAGTCAATGAGTCAGTCAGGACAAGCAATTATATATATATATAGATTGCTTGTCCTGACTGACTCACTGATTCATCCCTTCTTAGTGTGCGTTTTCATGACTTACCCTAACTGTGTACCAAATTTCACCTCTCTAGGTCCAGCGGTTTGCTCTGGGCGATGATGAATCAGTCAATGAGTCAGTCAGGACAAGCAATTATATATATATATAGATTGCTTGTCCTGACTGACTCACTGATTCATCCCTTCTTAGTGTGCGTTTTCATGACTTACCCTAACTGTGTACCAAATTTCACCTCTCTAGGTCCAGCGGTTTGCTCTGGGCGATGATGAATCAGTCAATGAGTCAGTCAGGACAAGCAATTATATATATATATAGATTGCTTGTCCTGACTGACTCACTGATTCATCCCTTCTTAGTGTGCGTTTTCATGACTTACCCTAACTGTGTACCAAATTTCACCTCTCTAGGTCCAGCGGTTTGCTCTGGGCGATGATGAATCAGTCAATGAGTCAGTCAGGACAAGCAATTATATATATATATAGATTGCTTGTCCTGACTGACTCACTGATTCATCCCTTCTTAGTGTGCGTTTTCATGACTTACCCTAACTGTGTACCAAATTTCACCTCTCTAGGTCCAGCGGTTTGCTCTGGGCGATGATGAATCAGTCAATGAGTCAGTCAGGACAAGCAATTATATATATATATAGATTGCTTGTCCTGACTGACTCACTGATTCATCCCTTCTTAGTGTGCGTTTTCATGACTTACCCTAACTGTGTACCAAATTTCACCTCTCTAGGTCCAGCGGTTTGCTCTGGGCGATGATGAATCAGTCAATGAGTCAGTCAGGACAAGCAATTATATATATATATAGATTGCTTGTCCTGACTGACTCACTGATTCATCCCTTCTTAGTGTGCGTTTTCATGACTTACCCTAACTGTGTACCAAATTTCACCTCTCTAGGTCCAGCGGTTTGCTCTGGGCGATGATGAATCAGTCAATGAGTCAGTCAGGACAAGCAATTATATATATATATAGATTGCTTGTCCTGACTGACTCACTGATTCATCCCTTCTTAGTGTGCGTTTTCATGACTTACCCTAACTGTGTACCAAATTTCACCTCTCTAGGTCCAGCGGTTTGCTCTGGGCGATGATGAATCAGTCAATGAGTCAGTCAGGACAAGCAATTATATATATATATAGATTGCTTGTCCTGACTGACTCACTGATTCATCCCTTCTTAGTGTGCGTTTTCATGACTTACCCTAACTGTGTACCAAATTTCACCTCTCTAGGTCCAGCGGTTTGCTCTGGGCGATGATGAATCAGTCAATGAGTCAGTCAGGACAAGCAATTATATATATATATAGATTGCTTGTCCTGACTGACTCACTGATTCATCCCTTCTTAGTGTGCGTTTTCATGACTTACCCTAACTGTGTACCAAATTTCACCTCTCTAGGTCCAGCGGTTTGCTCTGGGCGATGATGAATCAGTCAATGAGTCAGTCAGGACAAGCAATTATATATATATATAGATTGCTTGTCCTGACTGACTCACTGATTCATCCCTTCTTAGTGTGCGTTTTCATGACTTACCCTAACTGTGTACCAAATTTCACCTCTCTAGGTCCAGCGGTTTGCTCTGGGCGATGATGAATCAGTCAATGAGTCAGTCAGGACAAGCAATTATATATATATATAGATTGCTTGTCCTGACTGACTCACTGATTCATCCCTTCTTAGTGTGCGTTTTCATGACTTACCCTAACTGTGTACCAAATTTCACCTCTCTAGGTCCAGCGGTTTGCTCTGGGCGATGATGAATCAGTCAATGAGTCAGTCAGGACAAGCAATTATATATATATATAGATTGCTTGTCCTGACTGACTCACTGATTCATCCCTTCTTAGTGTGCGTTTTCATGACTTACCCTAACTGTGTACCAAATTTCACCTCTCTAGGTCCAGCGGTTTGCTCTGGGCGATGATGAATCAGTCAATGAGTCAGTCAGGACAAGCAATTATATATATATATAGATTGCTTGTCCTGACTGACTCACTGATTCATCCCTTCTTAGTGTGCGTTTTCATGACTTACCCTAACTGTGTACCAAATTTCACCTCTCTAGGTCCAGCGGTTTGCTCTGGGCGATGATGAATCAGTCAATGAGTCAGTCAGGACAAGCAATTATATATATATATAGATTGCTTGTCCTGACTGACTCACTGATTCATCCCTTCTTAGTGTGCGTTTTCATGACTTACCCTAACTGTGTACCAAATTTCACCTCTCTAGGTCCAGCGGTTTGCTCTGGGCGATGATGAATCAGTCAATGAGTCAGTCAGGACAAGCAATTATATATATATATAGATTGCTTGTCCTGACTGACTCACTGATTCATCCCTTCTTAGTGTGCGTTTTCATGACGTACCCTAACTGTGTACCAAATTTCACCTCTCTAGGTCCAGCGGTTTGCTCTGGGCGATGATGAATCAGTGAGTGAATGAGTCATTCAGTCAGTCAGGACAAGCAATTTTATATATTTAGATTAATAAATAACAAACCCTTGATAAAAATTACAACAAAAATCGTAAAAAATTATTTAAAAAATCGCAAATTTATTGCATATAGGTACACAAGAAAAAATCAATCATATGATTACTAAAAATATAAATTTAAAATTTTTGTCTGTTTGGTATGTGAAAATTGCTAATGAGAAAATTGCTGTTGCTCTTCTTCAATTAACTTTTCAATCTTGTGTTCTAAATTAGTCAAGCTGAGTCGGAGCTAAATCCAAAGAATATTGTTTAAATGTGTTCCAGTTTTATGGTATTCTTCAGTAGACATGTTCCATGGACACTTTCAAATTTCTTCCATTAAAACTCTACCCTATATATCAATATATTTACAGAAGTAGAAAACTTATATGACAATAGAACAGCTATACAAACACACATGAATGCTTGTTTTGCACATACCTGTAGTCAGAAATATCAGTCAAAATTCTGTGTCAATGAATTGCTAGCTATATGTCCAACACAGGCATAGTGTACAGTACATATCATCCAAGTGCAGTGTGGCCACTCCCACTGTCTAATAATGTGGTGATCTTTTTGATTTATAGCAAGCATAGCATCTATACTTATGTAGTGGTTGAGGCTTTAATAAAAATAAAGAATAGCAGATTTAAATTATAAAATATTTTAGTCTAGTGAATATGATCTTTTTCTTGATAAAGTGATTTAATTTAGTTATATTTGTTTGTTATTATTTCCTCTTCAAGCTTTTTCTTGAAAGTATATGAATATATTTCAAAAAATTAAGCTTAATAGTTTGATAATTTCCATTTCACTTTTTCTGTTTTTATAAAATTTCTTATATTAAAATGTTCAAATAATATAAAATATGGAAAACTTGCATGAAGAAAGTATCTTACGGAAGTTAAATTCTTAATCATGTTTTATTGATATGCAATGTTATAAGGCTCTGTTTGGGAACAATGAAGAGAAGCTAACTTGAAATCTAGTTTTTTACTTTACAAGACATGTACTAATATTTACAATAAAGAAGTAATTTTGATAAAGAAATATATAGAAGGAATTTTTCAGAAGTTTATTTGTTAGTTCTTTAGTGTGGAGGTACATATTTAGGACTTGAGTGAAAAACTCAACACACAATTTTCAATGTTCCAGAGAAAGAAAGAAAAAATAAAAAAATTGAGTTTGGACAGTTAAAGGAATTTAATCATAATTAAAATGTTTATTGGATTTAATACTTTTGGCTTTAATCATTATTCAGTGTTAAAGCATGTGTATTTTCAGATTTTAAGGGTCAACTTGATATACAGGCAATAAAATAATTTCATGACTTACAAGGTTTTCACTTTGGACCAGTGATAATCTAATACACTTAGCCATTGATTGAGAGACAAAAACTGAAATTGCAGTCTCTCCATTTTATTATATAATTTTATTACCTTTTATAGTTACAGTTTTGATATATGAGACTTTTGAAAAGTAAGCTTTAATATTAGTTAAATATATGAAAAATAAGAAGAAAATTTATAATTTGATGATTTTGAAATATATATCATAAGTCATCAAGAAAAGATATTTTAATTTTTTAATATAAAAATTTTAATTTATAGCACGTTAAATTATATCTGGGACATCAATTTTTATGTATCAGATCTGTCATTCATGTCTGATTTTAAATTACTTGTTTTAAAATTTTTATAGGAAGATAGATATTTTGTATTTTGTTTAATGTTAATAAATGATATAGGAAAATTATAATAATAATAATAGTAATAATAATAATTTAGTAATTTTTTATGAATCTTATTTATAAAACAAAATTATCAGTGATACAGATCTACCTCGAGTTACATCATTCTCAATTATACGTCATTTGTCAAAAAAGTATATGGAAAAATAAAAATCAAGATAAGTCATTTTATTCGACTTTACGTCCATTCGCCACAAATATTGAAGTTGTAATATCACTAGAAAAGTGTTAAAAGCACATAATCATATTAAAATATGTACATTTACAGTAAATGTTAATATAATCATCATAAATCCTAGAGAACAAAACATAAAAACATGTGTTTCTGTGTTGTCGTCTTATTTAATGGTCTTTAAGTGCTCATTATTGGCGTTTTCCACGGTAGTTCCAATATCTACCATTTGGCATTGTTGTCAGCGCCACTCAATATTGGTAAATTTAATATAAATTAGTTTATTTTCTACTGTCGCAAGAAAATTTTAAGAACTGTATTTGTTATTTAACCTTACGAAATCATCTTATTTTATAATGTCTTAGAGCAAACCACATTCACAAATAAAGAGTCTGCGATGTATTATAAACATCACCAAATTGTAAACAGGTACATTTACAAGTATGTACTGTATGCACATGTATTCATAAATTTAGATTACTTTTTTCCTGTACTATATTAAAAACTAAAATTTATTTGTTTGTAAGCTTAAAATAGATTCTTATTAATCATACCAGGTGTATAAGCTTAAATCCACTGTTTTTTAGTCAGAAAAAACACACATTTTTTTCTTAGAAAGCAAAAACAAATTTATTCAAAGTACTTTCCCTCACTAGTGACACATTTTTTCCATCTCTTGGGCAATGTGTGGATACCATGCCAAAAAAATTCCTTCTCTTTCGAGGCAAACCACTCATCAAGCCATTTTCAGACATCTTCGTAAGAATCGAAGTGCCGCTCAGCGAGCACGTGGCCCATCAATGAAAACAGATGATAGTTGGAAGGGGCCAGGTCTGGTGAATAAGTGGGATGGGGTAGCTCCTCCCAGTTGAGTGTCTTCAAGTAGTTTTGGACCAATGTTGACACATGCGATGGTGCATTGTCATGGAGGAAAATCAGCTTGTCATGTCTTTGCTGATAATCCGGCCTTTTTTCACGCAGAGCACAGTGCAATTTGATCAGTAGTTGGTGGTAGCGGTGGGCATTGACAGTTTCACCAGGTTTCAACAGTTCAAAGTAGACAATACCCTGCTGATCCCACCAAACACACAGCATTGTCTTCTGTCCAAAGTGTTTGGTCTTGGGGAAGATGTTGATGGTTTGCCTGGATCAACTCACGATTTCTTGAGTTTAGGATTCTCGAAATATATCCATTTCTCATCACCAGTTACAATCCGATGCAGAAACGACTTTCTTTTTTGTCTGGTGAGCAAGATTTTGCATGTGTTTTGGCATCGCTCCATCTGCCTATTGTTCACTTTGTGTGGCACCCATTTTCCGATCTTCTGAATCTTTCCCATGGCACATAGATGCATGGAAATGGCTGGTTGAGTAACACCCAATTGCTTGGCAAGCATTTTTTGCGATTGGGTATCGTCCTCATCCAAAAGAGCCTGCAGTTGATGGTCCTCAACCTTCCTGGGCCAATTTTCACGCTTCTTGTTGCTCAGGTCAAAATTTCCATCTTTGAACTGATTAAATCAATCTCTGCACGAGGTTTCTGATAAAGCACTGTTGCCACAGGCCTCCACAAGCATTCGATGTGCTTCGGCAGCCAACTTCTTCAAATTGAAGCAGAAAAGCAAAGCCAGCCGCATATACTCTTTTTCTGGCACAAAAGTAGACATGATTACCAAAGGAAAAATATATGTTGTTGTATGAAATTGCTGATGATGTGCACTGATTAATGTTGACAGATGTCAAAATCATAAAAAAAAAATATGGTGTCGTCATGGTAGCTTAATACGCTCACTTACACCATCTATTAGCAAACAGCGGATTTAATCTTATACACCTGGTATATTATTAAAAATTCATATACAAATAAAATACAGAACTGGGAATGGTTATTTGTGGTTTAGCCTAGTGACAAGTAAATTCGGAGACAAGTAAATTTGATTTAAGTCGTTTTTCGACTTAAATNAATTTGATTTGGTGAATTTATAAAATTAGATTTTTTGTAAAATATATTTTATATATTTATATTTCAATTTAAAAAATGTTTTCGTTTTTAGGTTGGAGATGTTAGATTGAAATGTCTTCAAGCATTACTTCCATTATATGCTTCTGAAGAATTAACAAGCAAATTGGAACTTTTCACAAATAAATTTAAGGTTTGTGTAAAATATTTTTAATAAAAATGAGTTTTATATATGCAACAATTTCTTAGAATTTATATAGAATTTATTTTTTCAGTAATTATTAAGACTGTATGTTGTGTATAGAATAGTATTTGAAATATAACTAAAGCATGCTTTTTGTGTGTCCTGAACAAATTTAATTAATGTGGTTGCATTTTATGTAAGAATCATTTTTAAAGACTGTATTACTCAAGATCAGTTTTATTATAAGAATAAATGTAAAATTTGGCAATACATTCTAAGAATTGTAAATTTCTAATTATTGAAGCATATGTTTGCTGTTGAATATGATAATTTTATTTATTTGCATTTCTATAAATTTATTAAGCTGAATTTTTAAAAATTATTTATAGGATAGAATTGTTGCAATGACTCTAGATAAGGAATATGAAGTAGCTGTTCATGCTGTGAAGTTAGTAATTAGCATTCACAAGTGAGTATTTTCATTTTTTACATTATTTGTAACAGTTTATTTTTTGTATGATAAAATTGTTGTAATATATTGATAATAGTAGTGTAAAAATAAAGTACAGTTGTGTTTTGCACTGCAAATTTAATTCATTTCAGAAGGTTATTTGAACTTGAAATCATTTGAATTCTGAATCAATTTTTGCATTAGAAATAATGGAAAGTTTGCTAATTCACTTCCAGACCTTGACAATACCCATTTTCATAAACTTAAAACAGCAAATTTGCATAATTTAAGGGAAAAATAACTCAATTAAATGGCCTAATAATAAATTAAAATATGAAAACAATAAATAAAACATGTAAATACTGTACAATAAAATGAAAATTGTATTTACTGGTTGCACACCATCAACTTTAGCATCTTATATATGGCAGCTAGATCTTCCACTTTCATACCATTTTCAAGCTTTGCAATAACTTTCTTTTTACTTCACTTGTTGATACAGGTATACCTCACCTTATGTCAGTAATTGGTTCCACGAGAGGCGACTTAAGTCAAATTTACTTGTCTTTGAATTTATTTGTCATTAGGCTAAACCACAAATAACCATTCCTAGTTCTGTATTTTATTTATAAATGCATTTTTAATAATATACGGTTAATAAGAATCTATATTAAGCTTACAAACAAATAAATTTTAGTTTTTAATAGAGTACAGAAAAAAGTAATCTAAATTTACGAATGCATGTACTGTAAATACAGAACATACTAGTATATATTTTAATATGATTTTATGTGCTTTAAATGCTTTTCTAGTGATATTACGACTTCAATATTTGTGGCAGACAGACGTAAAGTCGAATAAAATGACTTAAACTTGATTTTTATTTTTTCATGTACTTTTTTGACAAATGACATATAATTGAGAACCAGTTATCTCAAAAAGATGTAACCCGAGGTATACCTTTATTACAACCAAGTCTAAGAGGAAGCTCTTAGACTTTGTTGCTTACACCTACTTCTCAGATGCCATGGTTAATTAATAAATAAAAATTACATTGAGTTGAACGGAAAGTTTTGCATATTTTTGGTAGCCATCATTTCTTAACATGGATGTGTGATTTAATTACAACAGTTATGAAATTTAACACATTGTTTGCTATGGTGAGATTATATTCTTTGTTTTAAAGCTTGCTTTAAATTTTTTTTGTCGTAATTTGTTTGAATAAAATCAAGTCAAAACATCTTTAGATGAATAATATACTTTGAGTTTTGGAAAAGATGTAATGACATACAAATAGTAAAAAATTTTGTAATGTTTATGGGGAAGATGCTCTTAAACTTTGAACATATCAAATGTGGTTTAATTTAAAAAGTTTCATTTGGAAATTTTTGAACTAAAGAATACAAAATGTATAGAGTATCCAAAAGCTGTTAATGAAGAAAAATTGTGGGAAGAAATTATTAAAAATCGATGAATAACACACAACATATATAACCAATCACACAAAAAATAATGCAAAAATAAATAAATAAAAATACTGAAAACGTATGAGTGTAACATGAGTGACAGATACTCCATTGCACAACAGATTGCGTTTATATTTAATATAAACTATATAACTATATATAAACTATAAATATAAACTATATATAATTATTATTACTATTATATATAAGTATAAACTATATATATAAACTAATAAACTATATATATGATATTTTTATATAATTGTTATTATGTTTTTATGCATGATTTATGATTTATAATCTATTTTCAAAAGTTAAATGTTGATGAATGTCTAAAAGCTTTTTAATATAGCATTACATTTATGTTTCCTTGTAAGTGATCAAAATTTCCTTTTATTATCTTTGCTGTATTGATAGATAGACGTCATAAATATCTTTGTTTTCTATTTGCTTTCAACTTATCTTTTTTTGCTTGCAACAACAGAATTTATAATATTTTTAATTTGGTTTTATGAAACCTTTCTATGCTACAGATGGAAAGTATTTATGATTTTTGTTTGTTATTTTTTACAAATGAATACAGCTTTATTTAAGTACAGTAGAGTGTCGTTTATCTAAAAGTCGGTCAACTGAAAGTGTTCCAGTAGGCAAATTTAAATTTTTGCTAATGCTGTGGCATGGCAACCTTTGGCTATATCTTAGGCTACTCCAATATTTTTTTTGTTGGTGTTTTAGCTGGCAGCACTGGCACTTTTGTGTGGTGTTTTTCTGAGGACTGTGTGTCTGACGTGTGTCGTGCTGAATTGAACGTTTTTGATACTAGATTAACTTCTAAAGTATAATTGTTTTTGTTTTTATATTTTTCAATATATTTATTTTGTTTGTAAAAAATAAAGAAATAATTTTTAATGATACAATAGCCACGATTATTATTTTAAAAAGTTTACGTTAGGCTTAACATCGAC